CACAGTATACAGGGGTATGGATAATGAGCACAGTATACAGGGGTATGATGGATAAAGAGCACAGTATACAGGGGTATGGATAATGAGCACAATACAGGGGTATGGATAATGAGCACAGTATACAGGGTATGGATAATGAGCACAGTATACAGGGGTATGGATAATGAGCACAGTATACAGGGGTATGGATAAAGAGCACAGTATACAGGGGTATGGATAAAGAGCACAGTATACAGGGGTATGGATAATATATAGGGGTATGGATGGAGGGGTATGGAAAGAGCACAGTGTACAGGGGTATGGATAAAGAGCACAGTGTACAGGGGGTATGGATAATGAGCACAGTGTACAGGGGTATGGATAATGAGCACAGTATACAGGGGTATGGATAATGAGCACAGTATACAGGGATATGGATAATAATGGATAAGAGCACAGTATACAGGGGTATGGATAATAAGCAGGGGTACAGTATACAGGGGTTATGGATAATGAGCACAGTATACAGGGGTATGGATAAAGAGCACAGTATACAGGGGTATGGATAATGAGCACACAATATTCAGGGGTATGAGATAAGAGCACAATATACAGGGTATGGATAATATATAGGGGTATGGATAATGAGCACAGTGTACAGGGGTATGGATAAAGAGCACAGTGTACAGGGGGGTATGGATAATGAGCACAGTGTACAGGGGTATGGATAAAGAAAGACACAGTGTACAGGGGTATGGATAATGAGCACAGTGTACAGGGGTATGGATAAAGAGCACAGTGTACAGGGGTATGGATAATGAGCACAGTGTACAGGGGTATGGATAATATATAGGGGTATGGATAATGAGCACAGTGTACAGGGGTATGGATAATGAGCACAGTATACAGGGGTGTGGATAAATATACAGGGGTATGGATAATGAGCACAGTGTACAGGGGGTATGGATAAACAGAACAATATACAGGGGTATGGATATTCATAGAAGACTCAAACAGAAGCACAAACAGATTATGGGGGGAATTTAGTCAAACTGATGCAGACAGAATCTGGAGCTTCTGTGCATAGTAACCAATCAGCTTCTAAGCCCTGGTACACACCGCCGCAATTTCAGGTGCGATGTGGGAATTGAAATCATACCTGAAATCTGATCTAGTGAATGTGAGTGTCTTAACATACGCGATTTGCTGCAGCGCGTATCAAAAGTAGTTCTTGTATTACTTTTTCTGCAGTGTCTTGCAATTTCACATATAGACTACAATAGAAATCGAATTGGAAATCAAAAGAAATCCTTGGGAAATCTTCAGAAAACGCTGTGAAATCGCAAACAAACCGTGCCATTTTAAATCACATCCAGTGCGAACCAAGCCTAACTTCAGCTTGTTCAGTTAAGCTTTGAAAATGAAAGATAGAAGCTGATTGGTTGACATGCACAGCTGCTCCAGTCTTAAGCTGACCATAGATGGGTAGAATTTTGAACGAAAACTCTTGGGAAAAATTTGTACGAATATTCTCAGATCATTCAAATCAAGATTTTGTTTGCTTTTAACATTTGATTTTGGAATTAGGGGATTTAAGAGCATGAAAACCATATACACTGTTAGAAATGTGTTCCTTTGAGAAAAATTTTCCATCCTGCTCCATTGAATTTTCTTGTCACCGTGGTTGAAAACAAATGTCGATTTGACCCACTAATGATTAGAAAACCGAACAAACTTTCTTAGAACTTGTAGGTTGGACTGGATGGACTTGTGACAATTTCCAATCATATCTATTATGTAACTATGGGGTTGATTTGCTAAAGGCAAATAGGCTGTTCTCTTTGCAAGTGACATTGCACATTGCAGGAGAATTTTCCCCTTAGCTTGGTGAATGTGGTGAAATTTCTTTTTGCAAGAGGATATCCCAACACATGCTATGAAAACTAAAATAAAAAATAATTTTTGCTTGCACATGATTGGGTGATGGAAGTCAGCAGAGCTTCACTTACCCTAGGTTCACACCTAAGCGTTTTTGCAGCGTTTTCGCAGAAATGCACTACAATCACATGATTTCCTATGAGACACGTTCACATCTCCGCGTTTTCACCTGTGCTTTTTTTGGAAAGGGTCAGGGACTTTTTTAAAGTTGTGTTTTTAATTTTATTGACTTCAATGGAAATGCTGCAAGAAAGCAATAGTGCATATGCATTTTTTTTGATGCATTTTTGATGTTTTGCATATTAATCTGCCTAGCAACAAGAGAAAAAAAAGAAGGAAAACGTGTAAAAAACACACTGCAGAAACATATCAAATGCAAAATGCATAGGTGTGAACCTAGCCTTAGGCTCTGGGGAAAATTCTTTTGCAAAGCGAACAGCCTATTTGCTTTTAGTAACATTGCAGAAAATTGTGAAAGCAGGCACCATTAATCCTCTCAGTGTGGACTTATTACTGTCACCTGTAGATCTGTCATATAAATACTAACTTTCAGAGATTTTGTAAAGATGGACCATTGAAAGCTGTATTCTGAGATTTTACATCATGCTATGGTAAAAAAAAAGGCCAATGGGGTGTTAGCTGAGTCTTAATGTACAAAGCTTGTAGTTGGCCATTGGCAACATACTGCCATTGTGTGAACAACACGTCTGTGTAAGTGTACCCATTTGGGAATAAAGACTTAAAAATACGTTTTTTTTTTTTTCTATAATGGATTCTTCTACTGTTTGTCTCTGTCTGTCCTTTTCCTCGGCTACTGAATGCTACAGGTGTCTGTGCCATTTACCTGTAACAATAGTGACTTCTGTTTAGTGATGTGAAATTGGTGCATTCCCTCCTGCTCAGAGCTGCAGTTTTCTCAGTTAATAGCATCTTCCTGGCCTTTGCTGAAATAGCACAAAGGAATGTCATGACAAGGGGGTATTGTTGGGATATTCTATCTCCTGTTTTGATTTCTCTCCCTTGATGCCCAGGAGCACAAACATTCCCTGGTTTAAGTCTGCTCTGCTGAGGTGTGCATACTCCCTGCCAAATCTGACCCTTGTATCACTTCTGTCATACCAGGAGGCCTCATGTCCCGTAGAAAAATATCCGATCATCCAAGAACTAGTTAAGGGTTACCATTCCCTTGCCTCTACTTTTCAGGCCGTAGTTGTTTGAGTGAGCAATAACTGCCTGCCTTACAGGGATTTCTTTTTTAAAACGGCACTGGACGCAGCTGAAAATAACTGTCACTTTTTTCAAACTAAAGATCCTTATCCTGGTCTTTGTGAACTGAAAATATTTAAATATGTATTTGTCCAATTTTTAAAGCTAAGACACCAAGATGAGAATCTGATTTTTTTTCCCCAAAAAAAGTGACATCTGTCACTAGCTGCGTTCAATGAGAGCTGAAATTTAGTCACGTAGCTTAAGTAAAGATCAGTATTGTTTGTTTTAAAACTTTGTGAATCGAGTCTATTGTGGCAAAAGACATGTTGGAATTTTGAAAGGAATGATAGTTTATTCAAACAAACTGATGTGTGCATATAGTAATGATGTATTCAAATGTTTTAATCTGCTTCGGCCAAGGATTGGTGGCAGTTAGTTTCAGGATTGGTTAGGTAGTCCTTCTGTTTTATTGTAAATATATATTTTTGTATTTAAGGATTTTTAAAGTTGGAGCAATTATGCTACACAGTTAAGGTGCTATAACAATGTTTTAGGTAGAATGTAGACACTTGATCACCTAAACAATGCACATGGCACTGTGGCCCTCACTGGGTTTCCACATACCTGTATGTCTTTTCTTGAGCAATAAATTGTGAAACGAGTGGTTCTCCTCTGGTGTGTGTTTACAGTTGTCATGGTAACTTTTCAGATCATTACTGTGCAGCTACATTGACATAGGATCAGTCCTAGATGTGTTCCTAAGAGAAGGGCCTCGTCAGAACTAGAAAAAGTGATTGCTCATCTGACTCCATTAATGATCCCTTATGGTTCCTGATTTTCATTCTTAGTTCAGTTACTTTTGGTACAATACTGATTAAACTTAAGCACATTGATTTGTAGAATGTAATTATTAACACTTCCAGCGCAATAAAATAGAGGTGCATATAACATATAAGTATTTTTTATTTAGAAAACATTGTAATAAATCAGTGTATTTTATCATACACATTATGTAAAAAATATATTCTTGTCCTTTCTATCATAAGTGAAGTTTCTAAAAAATTTTAGTTTTTAAAAAATATTTTTAGATTATATTTACATTAGTCAATTTGCTGCATTCTTTTTTCTTATTTTTTTCATTTTTTCAGCAATCACATTTTAGCACTTATATGTTCCTTATATGACAGTTTGAGCCATATAAGGCTAGAAGTATAAAACCTAACAGAATAGAAAGTGATATATTTTGCCCTTACCAACCAATCAGATGTTTCCCCTCTGCGTTCAAATCTGCCCTAGAAAAATTACAACTGTGGTCTTCAAATGCCATAGACAACACATTTTTTTTAACACTTTTGTACATGACACTTATTTTTCATTTTTGTTAATCGTATGGCAGTTTATATTGTTTGCACGGTCTTGTGTATGCTGTTGATTTAGTATTTTTTCCCCCCCTTTTTCTTTTTTTTTTTATAAATGTGTGTTAATCATAACATGGTTCCACAAGTCAAAATCTGTGATTTCTAGGAACTTAATACATTGTAGACTGTTGTGGTTCTGTTTTTTTTGTGTCGCTCTTGAAGTTTCAGGCCAAGTTCTGGGACTTCTATCCTAGGTTTTGTTCCAGTTTGTATTTTTGATTTCTCACAGTATAGCAATCTTTGTGTTGCCTGCGTTATTACTCTGCAGGTCTACCTCCTGTTCTTTGTGCATTGTTACTGGGCATGCAAATCTTTGCGTTACTCACTAGTTTTTATGATTTTGTCTTTAAGCAGTTTTTTAGGTTGTAGTTATTTTTGTGTAGAACTCTTAGTTCAGTTTTATTCTCACATTTGTCCACAGATTGGAAATATTTGTAATATTTTTTTTTATTTCAGATTGATCCTAAAGTAGCATTTCCGCGCAGAGCTCAACCCAAGGTAAGTTTTCTTTTAAGGAGTCTAGGACAGGAACTGGCATATTGTAGTTGAAGGACTACAAGTCCCACCATGCCTTGCCACTCACCATGCTTGCAGTTTCTGTACAGCTAGAGAACTACAGGTTTCGTTTCCTGAGTCTAGTTTAAGTGGGGTTTGGAAAGCGAGCAAACATGTTTCCGCCTAAATATTCCTGCACGCATTCTATTAGAGGTAGCCTTGCCAAGCAGTTAAAGCAGCAGGGAGAGGAGATGGGAGGGAGATGTAACTATTGGAAAGCAATCGGCTTAAGTCCAGTAACTAGCAGGTGGATCAGAATTGGGTCCTGCAAACACTGGCAGAATTGGGTTAATTCCCTTAAGTAGTTTGTTGACAGACGGTATCTTGGTGTCAGAGCCAGGAAGCTTAGCGCCAGGGTAATTAGGGGCAGCTGGGAGACCCTCAAACCAAGGCTCATTTTATTTATTGCTCTGATTGCTTTTGTCAGACTTTTTTTTTTTTTTTTGTGAACTATGCCTTTGTAAAATCTCCATACAGTACTTTACTGTACTGCTAGCATCAGCATAATACCTTTCAATGCACTATGCAGCCTCCTGGTGAAACAACAAAAAAATAATCCCTTATGTCATGTGCAGGAACAGCACCTGTGTTCTTGTCTGCCTCTAGTCTCCTGGTCAGTCTTTGCTTCAGTCATGTCACCTGATTACTCTTAATTATTACAGATGGTGACAAGGACAAAGAAGATTTTCGTGGGCGGCCTCTCTGTGAATACAACTGTCGAAGATGTAAAACAATATTTTGAGCAGTTCGGAAAGGTGAGTGTGTGGTTTTTAAGGTGTGGCCGATGTAGTTATGAGCGTAGTAATAATAGTTTACGCAGCGAGCCCACTACTGACGTTAATTGAAAGCTTCAGACTTAAAAGTGACACTAAAATCTGGTTTAAAAAAAATCAGGTATGTATTCTTAACACACAAAAGTACCTTCTTTTGCTCTCAGCTTCCTCCAGATCTCTAAATTCCTTTTTTTTCAACTTCGTGTTAGAAGGTGACTATGTTCGTTCTCCATGCTTCCACTGTATGGGGGAATGTAGTTTGCTCCTGAACTACGAGTATGGAATTGGTAGTGTGCATAGCTGCAACTACAGGTGCTTTCACACTGCTCCATTGAAAAAAACCTAGTAAAAAAGGTTTTTGATGCCTTATCTGGATGGCATACATTTGTGAAAAATGGACGCTTGTCTCCAAAAATGCAACCCTGGTGTGTTTTTATTGCGTTTTTTAATGTTTTTTTTTTTTTTATTGATTTTAGTGGGTAGCTGTGTTTTTTGTGTGGTTTTGAAAATCATACCAAGGCTGCGGCATGCCGGACTTATCAAAAGGCACTGCACCCACAACACAGTGGTATGAATTTCAAACCAATTATTTTTTATGTGTTTTTCTTGCATTTTTAGCAGCGTAAAAAAACACATCAGTGTGAAAGGGCCCTAATGTGTGCTGCTCATTTTAAATAAACAGAAGTGTGGGGGGAAAAGGAGAAGTTTGAGAGCTCACAGAAGACATTTCAAGAAGGCAGAAAAACAGCAAGAAACAATTTGATGAAATACAGATTACAGGGCCATTAAGATGAAATGGCGGATTTGAAGTGCATATTTTTTCTAGGAGTAAGAATATTGTTTCATGTCACTTTAAGTTGCTGGGGGCCTGTGGTCTCCATGACAGCTGGTAAAGCATTCTCACCCACGTCAGTGACCAGCACGTGGGGAGGATTCAACAGTAGAATGGAGGTGGGGGGCGGGTCGCTTGAACACAAGAATAATAGATGTTTCAGCTTTTTTATTGTGCTGGGTATATTTGCTTTGATGTGCAGATTATTCGATGAGCCAAACATATTAAAACATGGATAATCAGATTAATACAAAGTATGACAACCCCCCCTGCTCCCATCCGTAACACCTGAGGATGACCCCACCACGTCATAAACCCATGACAGTCACTGACGAACAAGCCCTTGCTATAAGGTGATTAGATCCCCATTTAATTAGGAGGTTGGAGAGATCTGTGGATGCCTCGGATTTCTCTGCCATGGGCAGCAGATTATCTAGCACAGTATACTGAGTGGGGGGAGGATTTATGCACTGTGCATAGATGACCTAAGCGCACTGTGTTGCAGAAAGCCCCTGTGGACAGCAGGTCACCTGCACATTCATGCACAGAAAATAAACCTTTTCCCTTGTTTGGTGATGATTTCATCCATTCACTTTTTTTTGGTTTTCCTTTGTTTCTCTCTTCCTAGCACTCTGTCCTTCACTTGTGTTTCACACTCTCTCCCCCTGATATCTGGTGGGGCCCTCTCCCCTCCCCCCATCTTTTCAGTTGCACACAAAAGCTTTTGCCTCTTTCCCCTCCCCTGCGGCTCAGGACATACTAAGCTGCAGTCATAGTAACAGGACAGGACTCCCAGAGCCGCTCAATCTCCAGAGAACCAAACGGTTTTGTTTGAAAGGCAAGAAACTGTTTGACCTGATGAGTAAATAAATATCTCATAGATCTTACAGGCTGAAACTAGCGGGACACACAGGGAGCCCTAGATTGGCCACATCTCCCTGCGCTACCCTCTCCCCCGTGATCTCTGTGCACCTCATGCATTTGAATGCCTTTTTTCCCCCTTCAATCTGGAGTCACTATGTGGCCCCCTATTTCTTTTTTTTTGTTTTTCCTATGCAGGCCTCCTTTTTCTCTATTCTTTACACTGCAGCGGTTCACACCCCCCTCCCTGTTTTCCTGCACTCTTTTCCCCTACATCTTCCACTTGTGTCATTTTCAGCATTATTTTACTTACAAGTACTTTTAGTATGTTGTTTCTGTATCCTTAGAGCAATAAGGATATTATGCTGTTAAAAAAAAAAACCCTGTTTTTTTAAGTGCCTGATTGACTGCTTTCTCTCTGCGTTTTTGTACAGGTTGATGATGCTATGCTAATGTTTGATAAAACAACAAACAGGCACAGAGGTAGGTATCGTGTGTATGTGCCCACGTCAGTGCTTTCAGATATTTCGCAGAAATGTGGCTCCACAGATCTGCTTTGTGTGATTTGATAATCCTCTTTGCGGAGGGTTTTTGTGTGTGTAAAAATGCAAGTTTCTGGGTGATGAGTGTTCAGCATGTGGTCAGTGCAGAGCCTAGCTGCAGATCTGGACACAGCTCCATTGTTCTCTCCCTTCCTGACACAGAATACCTGTCCATCCTCCCTCTGCTCCCTGCAGCTGTTCTTCATAAGTGACTCACTTGTGTGACTTTCACAGCACACAATTATATATGGTGTATAGACACGTCAACCTGACCCATTTTATCCGGGTGATGTTTATCTACCTTCGAACACAGCACTGAAATGTTCATTGATTGAGTCTGTTCTTCTGTAAAATTTGATATGAAAGCCTTTTAATATACAATAAGGATGGCGATGTTAAATTCTGGAGCAGGGAAAGCTTTGCCTGGAATGGATCAGATTGACTTGAATATGTAGGAACATTTTTAGATAAATGTAGGATAAATACAAATAAAAGATATATATATATATATACATATACACACACATACAGAGAGAGAGAGATTTCAAAACAGTTTAAAATGTAATATGTGTGTGTATGTATATATATATATTTACTATAAATATATATATATATATATATATATATATATATATAATAAATAATAAATATATATATATATATATATATAAATATATATATATATATATATATATATACATACACACACACACGCAGTATGTGTGTATATATATATATATATATATATATATATATATATACACACACACACACATACTATAAATAAATATATATATATATATACACACACACACGCAGTATGTGTGTGTGTGTGTGTGTGTGTGTGTGTATACATATATATATATATATAATATATATATACACACACACAGTATATGTTTTTATATAAATAAACTGTGTTCTTTTATACAGAGTACAGCAGGATCTGTTTACTTTTAGTCTTTTTCTCTCTGATTGAAGTATCACAGGGATCAGTCTTGACAGGCACGCAAAGAGGAAGGAAAGGGAATATGTCATCACTCTCTAGTCCATTAAGTTGTATGTAAACTTCAGCTTCAGCTATTGTGCATTGTAAACAATAGCCTTTTTTAGCAAAGTAGACAAGGATAACATAGAACAAAAAGCAGCCTAGAGCTCCACCTGCTGGATACAGTTAGAAGCATTAAAGTTGTTCTGTTTAATTTAAAAAAAGATTAAATATGTTAAACATTTTTTGAATGTATTTTCAAGCCCATTTGGAGGACTAAAACCTGGTAAAATTATATATTATCTTTCTTAAAATGCCAATATATCAGCACAGCCTGACCTAATTTTACTAGCAGGTGGCCTAATGGGCAAAATCCAAACTTATAGCTCAATTTTTTCTTTATAAGGCAGATGCTGAATGGAGGGCTTTCCTTGTTACATGGACAAGTCTTTTTTCAAATAATGTTCCATAGTTAAGACTTGTTTTGTAAGACGGCATGTATGTATAATGAAAATACAACTAAAGGTTCCTGTGTGACAGGCTAAACAAATACCAAATACAGTTGCTATGTGATACAGAAGTGTCAAAATGTAAACCAAAAACTTTATTTTGCTGTACCACAGTGAACCTAACATTTCAATCTCAAATGCATCCCTCATCAGACACTGCAGATCATAATAGGAGGAACAGAAGCAGTGCTGTCGTGCCAGAAAGCAGTGGGCAGGACTAGGACTGGCCAGGTGCTGATTGACAAGCAACAGGCTTGTGAACCAGTCATGACAATGCTGTGCCCCCTTCAGCATTTTTTCATCCAACTGTAGTGCATGCAGACACAGTCTACATGAGAATGGCAACTCTGATTTGAATTCATGAGCAGTGCAGCTTTGTTGCCACACCATCACAGGAATCTGAATTAGGTGGACTCCATTGGCAAGACCAACAGGTATTTGGGGGAATTTGCAGGGGTGCTAAGAGAAAAATTATATGTGCTTATAATTTTTTTTTTTTTTTTTTTGGTAGGCCATAGTTCTACTTTAATGTAAATTTGTTTTTGTAGAGATAGGCACAGAATAGAACTGCCCCTGGATCACAGAGCAAAACTAAGAAGCAACACAAATCTACAAATTTGTAGGAATATTGCTATAAACTCCAACCTTTTATAGAGGTTCATATATATATACATTATGATATCTGTATGTTTCTTCGGTGTATTACCACGTAAGCTTGCACAGCTCACCTTGCACTAAACTTCCATTATTTTTCCTTATTTGTTTGCTGTTCATCAGTTCTCGAATGCCTTCTTTCTCTCACAGTACATTGTCAAAAAAAGGCATGTCCTAGTGCCACGTTAGGGGAGATTTACTAAAACTGAAGTATTGATAAGTAAATATAAATGGCGCCTACAGAAGAGATCTTGATCTTATTAGCCAAATGGCCAATGTCTATTCTACCAGCTGCAAAATCTGCCCTATAATAATAAGGTGTATGAACAGAAAAATAAACAATTTGCGCTAGTAAAAATATAAATCCAAATATATGTGAATAAATATCCCAAACAAAAAATATATACATAAATATAAATAAAAGTCCAATAAAGTGAGAAAAAAATATAAAGTCCAATAAGGTGAGAGAAAAAAATATACTGAAAAAAACGTGACAATCCACCACCAAATATACTAAATTAACTCACCAGAGCTAAATGCTGATAATAATAAATCAGCATGAAACGCTATTTGCTCTGGGAGCGATGGTCAGCAGGCTGATGAAACAATACTTGGCTTTAAAACTTGATTTCCAGGGGGCAATACTCTGCAGGAACCAGTACTTGGCTAACAAATCGATATCCAGGGAGCAATACTCTGCAATCGGATGTGTCACTAGGAAAATCCACTTCTTATAGACACATCCATATCCATAAGGTTTTAGACCAGGCACTCAGAAAAAAAAACAACAGCTCATAGTGCAGTACCTTTTAAAATGAATTTGTTTAATATGCACACATCGTACTTACAACAAATGGTGTCCTAGCCTACACCAGCATCAACAGCATGTCAAACACAATAGACGAACCCAGCTGCTCAGCACATGCACCGTGGACTACTGGGAAACGTAATGACGTCAATCAAGCCCCGCCCTACGCGTTTTGTCAACGACGTCCTCACGGATTGAGCATTTAGCTCTGGTGAGTTAATTTAGTATATTTGGTGGTGGATTGTCATGTTTTTTTCAGTATATTTTTTTCTCTCACCTTATTGAACTTTATATTTTTCTCTCACTTTATTGGACTTTATATTTATTTATATATTTTTGTTTGGGATATTTATTCACATATATTTGGATTTATATTTTTACTAGCGCAAATTGTTTATTTTTCTAAAACTGAAGTATGTAAAATCTGGTGCAGCTCTGCATTAAAACCAATCAGCTTGCAGATTTTATTGTCTAAGTTTAATTGAACAAGCTGAAGTTAGAAACTGATTGGCTACCATGTACCGCTGCAACAGATTCTGAGTACACCAGCTTTATGCCGGCCATACATGGGTCGAAATTCGTCCGAAAATCGGACCTAAGAATAATCGACCGATTTTCGCTCTGTTAGCATGTTGGAAAATTTCGGGCATGTTGGAACATTTGTGAAAAACTACCGATTTTCAACTCAATGATGGTCAAATCGTACGATCGTTTCTCCGAAATGAATATGTGCATGAGCTGTGACCTGGAAGGAACAGAAGTTTCAACTGGTGTATGGGGTGAACTTTATGACTTGGTTGGCCAATTTTCTAAACCATTAATGGCACCATCGGATTACCGAGCGAACAATGTTTTCGATTTTCGGACAAAAAATTGTTTGGAATTTGACCCATGTATGGCCTGCATTAGTCCTCATGCACACTTAACGTTTTTACAGCTGCTGTTTTTGGCTTTGACATTTTTTTTCTACAGCCAATAAACCCCCCAGCATGTTATTCTATGTATCTATGCACACATAGACTGTAATCAACATTTTTTGGCTGGAAAAAAAACCCAGGACTAGTGGGTTTCTAGAGGAGTTCTTTTTAGCTGTAAAAACGCTCTAATGCTGAAAAGTGCAGTAAAAAAGCCGCAAACCAGGCTTTTTGGAATCTTTTTTGACCCAAAAAAAACCGCTAAAAACTGCAAACTCGGAAAAACGAGGGAAAACGCCGCTAAACGCTAATGCAAAAACGCTAAAAAACTCACGTTTTAAGGTGACTTTACACAACTAACGTTACCAGCGTTATCAAAACGCCCCGTTTGCATGGAGACTAAGTAAATCTCCTCCAAGGTGTCTGCACTTTGGAAACACACTCAAAAACATGTTTTTGGAGCTTCTCAAACTCACTCTTGTTAATATCAATAGACCCCAACAGGGCAGGGCGTACTACTGCTTCTTTTGCATTTAGGTTTCCCTCAATCTGTTTGAGCCCAGCTGATCCTATTCAAGCCTCTTCCACACCCATTTTTTTCATTCAGTTGGGGTCAAAAGTGAAGCCTCTGAAATACAATGCAAACACAGTACATACATTTCAGATGCATATGCAAAGCTTTTGCTACCTTTTCAAAAGTAATTGACAGCAGCCTTATTAGTAAATACACAATTAAAGCTTATAAAAGCATTGTCTCTTGAACTTCATCTTAATTGCTGCCTATATACATTTCTTATGTTACCAGAATACATGGGAAGGATGCTTCCTGCATCCATTTTTCCAGTGACAAAGGAGGTGGATTATCATAGTTCTGGCTGTATTTAGACTTATTAGGAACATCATGTGTATTTTAAAGTGTAGGTTTCAGTAATTGCATGCTTTAAAAGTAAGAATTCATCAGGCCTCATTTATAAGCATTGCTATAAAAATGACTAGTGTAAAGCTCATGTGCATTACAAGCTGCTGGACTCCAAAGCACATGGAGCACCAAAGTAGGTGGAGAATCCAGTCACTTCTCCAGTGATCAGCCTCTTCTCCAATCATAGTAGCAGAGAGACCTCTGTAGTAAAGACACAAGCACCACATGGCCTAAATTTCATGAGTTATTTATAAGATGTAGGCATGTTGTAAAGCACGGGTGACAAACTGGCGGCCCTCCAGCTGTTGCCAAACTACAAGTCCCATGAGTCCCATGACAGTTACAAGCATGACTCCCAAAGGCAGAGGCATGATGGGACTTGTAGTTTGGCAACAGCTGGAGGGCCGCCAGTTTGACACCCCTGTTGTAAAGTAAACACTTGTGTCCAGTAGATAGTGATATACATTCTCGTTATAAAGAAGGCACCATATATGAGAAAAATAGCCAAAAGAAATAGAGCAGCTCTATGGGGGTTATTTACTAAAGCTGGAGAGCGCAAAATCAGCCTCACTTCTGCATAGAAGCCAATCAGCTTCCAGGTTTTATTGCCAAAGCTTCATTGAACAAGCTGAGGTTAAAAGCTGATTAGTTCCTATGCAGAAGCGAGCCTGATTTTGCACTCTCCAGCTTTAGTACATAAACCCCTATGAGCGAGACTACATCAAACAGTATTCAGATATGCAAAAATCAGCAGTGCAGTATTTTTATCTGTAATCATAAAACTTTGTGAATAAAAACACAAATGACATTAAAGCGGAGTTCACTCAAAAGCGGAATCTCCGCTTATTTGCCTCCCCCCTCCACTGCCATATTTGGCACATTTTGGGGGGATGTGGATACCTTTTTTTGACAGGTACCTGCTCCCACTTCCAGCTCAGCTCACCGCTGCGAACTAAGCCGGAGGTTTGGCTCCCTCCTTCCTCCTGCAGTCTCCTGGGAACTTTCATGGGTTCCAGAAAACTGCCAGACCAATCAGGAGGCGCAGAGCAACTCACGCATGCGCAGTGGGCACCAGGCTGTGAAGCCGCAAGCTCTCACAGACTTTTGCCCACAGTTGAGATGCCGACGCCTTGGAGGAGGGATGGAGAGAAGGGACAGCACGGGTGACTACATCGCTGGGATAGGTAAGTGTGTGTGTTTATTAAAAGTCAGCAGCTACAGTTTTTGTAGCTGCTGACTTAATAAACACAAAAATGGAGTGAGACTGCAAAATAGTTTTATTCAAACAGTCCCAGAATAGTCTGTGAAACAATATTCAAATAGAAAAACATGGTTGTCCTACAGATCCTGCCCTTTATCTTTGTGCCCATGAACTCCAAATTTCACCACGTGTCTCCGCCTAAGACCTGTATGCCATAGGAGGTGTGTATGCGCTTGATATTATGATGGCCCTTCTTTACCACAGGTCCCCCACCATGCACAGCCAGGGTTTTCCAGATGTCTGCACTCTTAATACAAATATTCCTCTTTTCCTTCGCTCTCAAATAAAAAGGAAAAAGATCTAGTGCACACTGTGCGTTTATTGTGATATAGCATAAAAAACAACTCAAATAGATATATAAGATTGGAATCTCCAAGGATCAGGCCCTCCTAACCCTCTTGTATTGAACTGTATTGTTGCTGTATTGTCTCCCTTTATACTGTAAAGCGCTGAGCAAACGGTTGGCGCTATATTATTATTATTATACAGTATTTATATAGCGCCAAAAAATTTGCTCAGTGCTGTACATTATAAAAATCCTGTATATAATAATAATAATATATGGTTATAAAGCTACAAGCAGCTGTCTGGCATCAGCTCATGTCAATCCTTCACACTAGTGGCCATAAATTAACAGAGTTATTATCATATCACCCTGTGATCAGCAAAATCTCCAAACCATATGCTTCTTTGCACCCCGACTTTAACAATATTTCATAATGGCAAAATGAGTTCTTTATAGCTGATATGGACATATCTACACTACTCCCCTGACCTGCTGCAGGACTGTAAACTGTATTTATTGAATTATATCAGCCTGTGTAATGGCATCCTGACTAAGTAACTGATAAGTTGTTAATGGCCCATGTGTAAACTGGAGTACAGTTACATAGCATGTAATTGCATATGGCCATTGACAACATTTCCCTGAATTCATGACAGTGGGCTTTACTGTGCTGCAGTCTGGCAGTAAAAGGATTTTCCTATAATAACGCCCATAGATATGCACTACTTTTCATTATAGAGGAGATTTAATATTGTGCAATGAAAGACAAGAGATTCGAGAATAGCTTACAAGCAGGCACTGCAAATAATCAACCAAAGCGGTTCAGGCAATGACTGAGGTGACATAACAAAGCTAAAGATTAATTCTGGGTTTATTCACCTACTGCAGGATAATTATTTGCTCCCTCGGGCCCCTATCAAGTCACATTGGGATGTAGTCCTGAGGCTGTACGCTGTTACTAGTATAGGTGGTTGTCATGGCAGGGCAAAGTGGGTAGCCCTATGGGAAGGAATTGTGGTCACTGAACAGGGTAAGCACCAAGATAATCATTAGTGGTAGTCTTGCTGTATGGATCAATAGGTGTTTTTTTGCCCAACTTGCAATACGGTTTTAGAAGGAATAAATCATATTTGATGGCAGAACTGTTGAAAGCAGTGCATTTTATATGAGGTCACAGCACATTGTCAGTGCCTACATCTGTTTTGACAGATATTAAATACTTGCTGTGTAATACATAATTATTGTATGTACCTAGGCATTTTAGCTTAGCTGCCATGGTAGGATAATAGTTTTGGTAGCTTATCAATTGCTGCCTCTTGTGTTGCCTGGAATTACTTTATATGTTGATTATAGGAGTCGATTATAAGATCTTAATCAAGACCCTTATTCACTGTACACAGTGGTGACACTCTGTACCTACCCTCATAAAAGAGATCTGTTGTAGTCAAGGACAGTAAAAACAGGCCGTTATCCACTTTTGTACTGCAGACATAAACTGTGCGGTGGTGACCAGAGAGGGAATACATATTGTATATGCATTGTTTTATCCCCTCTGGGCCACTATGGTGCAGTTTGGGCGGGTAGTCAGGGGAGCAGTAATAACGCAGATAAACCACCTGTTTTTCTACCCACAGTCATTGTGTGAACGAGGCCATAGAGTAAGCTTCTGTATTAGCGCCTCATGTAAATATTTCTATTAAAAATGTATTTTCCTCCATCCCTAACTTTCCTGATATTGGTGTCCTTTTATCATGCAGTGGTAAATGACCGCTGCTCAGTTCTCTGGCATTCTCAGAGGATCAATTCTCCTCTGAATGCCTTTTTATGAAGCGGTGTAGATTGCTTCTCCTAATGAGGAGAGAAGCAATCTACAAATGCTTTGAATGCTAGAAAATGGCTGCTGTTACTATAATCTCGCGAGAAAATAGTAAGAGATCAGTTTAAACACCGTTTACTAAACAGAATTACCGCTGCTTCGTTTGTGGTTCCCCCGATTCTCCAGCTCTGGACTGGAGAATCTGGAGGGAGAACACAGATCGCCAGTGAAGGGCTGACATCGCTCCTTCAAACACTGGCCATCTCTGTGCTGAGATGATCAGCGGAGAACATATTCTCTGCTGATCATATCTGTTTCCTAAACCACTAATGATCGGAGATCAGCAACGATCCTCAGGATCACCGCTGATCTCAGTTTCATAAAAGGACACCATTACTAGAGATGTTAATAAATAAAAGATGTAGCTGTAAAACGCAGTGCTCCTTGTGTAGCGCACTGGACAATGTAATTATATTCTCACTTGCTTTTGCCAGCCAGTATACTCTGACCAGGTTGACCATTTCCTTTTGTTTTTAAATTAGTATGTTTGAGTGCCAATTTTCATTTATATAATTGCAGGATTTGGTTTTGTTACCTTCGAAGGAGAAGATATTGTGGAAAAGGTCTGTGAAATCCACTTCCACGAGATCAACAACAAGATGGTAAGCAAAAAAAAATCCAAGTGTATGATCACTTAGGGGCTTATTTAACAAACCTTTGTTGGACAAATGTAACAAGCATTCGTCCTGGCTGCACAAATTGTTCCTGGGTTTTCTCTGATACTATGACTTTGTATGATTATCAGCTCCATCAGGTGGCCAGATTGCAGTATATTTTTCTGAAATACCTCAATCAGTAAATATACAACATTTTGGTCAATAGATGGAGGCGATGGTCATAGGAAGTCATAGAATTAGAGAAAATACAGGAAAAGTTAATGCAACCCAGACAGTTGTTTGTGACATTTGTCCTTTAGGCTGAACCTAATGGATTGAGCTGGAGAGCTACCTCTGGAATAGACTTTTCATGATGGCAGAAATAGCAATTGGGTTTTCTAAGTAATCAACCCCCTCCTCCAAAAGCATAAATAAAGTTGATTATCCAGAGTTGTCAGCTGGGTTCAGAAGGCATGACCACATATAGGAGTTGGACATTGTAGCTTAGAGAAGCATCAAAAGAAAAAGATATTAAAGTGCAAGTATGCTGCTGCAAACTACTCTGACAGTTACTTTTTTTTATTAATGTTTTACTTTTTTTAATGTTTGTGGCCAAATAGGTTGATTCCCTTCTTTATTTGTCCCAGCAACCATTTTCACTGAGACAGAAATCAAGTGGAAACTCTACATTTTAGTTGTCATGAAAGCAGGAGGCAAAAAATATTCTCATAAGGATTCTAACCCTTTTCTATACTTTCCCCCCAAAAAGTTTTGTTTTTACACATTAAAGAACTCCTGTCACCATACTACTAATTTCAGCAACACTCTTCTCATAAGATTTTAGTATAGACATCCAAAAGGTCTGAGACTGTTGCTGGGCACCACCATCTTGAATGTGTTGTCAGCAGACTCAGAGCTTGTCACTAAAAAGAGAAGTACGGGGTTTATTTTTTCCCCCTAAATTATAATGACCTAGGTGACATGATCGCTGAGTTTTCACAGCCTCCCTGAGTAGAAAATGGTGACTGTCACTGGAGCGCAGGGCTGTGGAGGAGGAGGGAACAGCTGATTTAGGCTCTCAGCAGATCGATGAGAGGCTGAGCCAGGTGCCACTCCAGACTGTGGGGTGTATCCTGACTTTAAAGTCGGGATCTTTTTCCAGCCTGGATTAGCTGAGTGACGTCAGCCGATAGTGGGCTTCAACCCTTTGTCAGCTGAAAAGGAGTCACAGGAGTGCAGAACAAACTGCACTCCTATGATCCCCAGGAGAAGTACAGCGAAAAGAGCTTTGGCTGTACTTCTCCTTTAAGTGATTTGCTATAGTATTATCTTTCACCCCTCCCCCAGCTGCTACATAATCATTTATGGGAAGTTAAAACTGCAAGTAAGCATTTCAATTCTTGATTTTTCTGTGGTTTTTACCCTTAATGGTTAAAGTAATGACAGGGTTTCTTTAAGACAGGCTTTTTCATCTCTTTTCTTCTAGTATTTGTAATTTTTCTGTAATTCCTTTGTGCCACACTTATTTATTTATTTCAGGTACTTATATAGTGCTGTCAATTTATGCAGCGCTTTACATATATCTACATTAACATCAGTCCCTAACCCTCAAGGGCCGTACAGTCTAAAGTCTCTAACCTACATTCATACATATACTAGGGCCAATTTAGACAGGATCTAATTACCCTACCAGCATGTCTTTGGAGTGTGGAAGGAAACTGGAGTGCCCGGAAGAAACCCACGCAGGCACAGGGAGAACATGCAAACTCCAGGCAGGTGGTGCCATGGTTGGGAATTGAACCAACAATCCTAGTACTGCCAGGTGGAAGTGCTAACCATTTAGCCACTGTGCTGCCCACATTATTTATATACATGCTATTCCAAAGGCCACCACTATAAATTGTTCATTATTAATAAAGCCCCAATTGATGTCATTAGTGATTGCATGCAGGACACAGTAAGGGTTTTGTAATAAAACTGCATAGTGCAAAATCAGCTTCCAGGTTTTATTGTAAAAGATTAACTGAACAAGCTGAAGTTAGAATCTGATTGGCTACCATGCACAGCTGCACCAGATTCTGAGTGCACCCATTTTAGTAAATCTACCCCAGTGGTTCCTGTCAATTAGCTGCAGGCAGACGCCTCATGGAAAGCAATTGGAGGCTGACAGCTCCCAAAGCTAATTTCTGCTGCTTGCATGTAATTTCTCATGAAGCGATTACCTGTGAATGATCATTCCATGAGCGGTTACACGAGTGGCTGTTATTACCTGCAGAAGCTGTCAACCTCCAATTGCTATCAATGGGTCTAAAGGTATCAAAGAAACATGTTAAATATCATTTTATTTCTAAATGAAAATACATGAATTGTTTCATCTTAGCACAATGTTCCTCATACCTGTGGGTTGTGCTGTTCTATATTTGATTGTTTGAAGTCCTGTCTCTCATGAACTTTGTGCTTGTACTATGCATTAATGCTGCTAAAACAGTATAGAAATTCCCCTATAGTAATTCTACTAATTGACCTTTATGATGCTGAACCTGTTTTTGTGAAGTTGCAATAATGTACAGTATTTTGTAGTGAGCAGTGCAGGTTTTAAAGGGTAACACCACAAAGAGCTAATAGGTTGAATGGTGGATGTAATGTGTGAATATCACTTCTCAACAATCATACGGTTTGGTGGAGAACCCATAGAATTTAGTGGGGACACTGGGGACATAGTTGTGTGTTTATTTAGACATTGCAGTCACCCTTTTGCATGTGCTTACATATGTGACTAATGTGTTTTTAATATATGGTATGATTTCCTTCTTTAGGTTGAATGTAAGAAGGCACAACCCAAGGAGGTGATGTCTCCAACAGGCTCTGTACGGGGACGCTCCAGAGTGATGCCATATGGAATGGATGCTTTCATGCTTGGCATCGGCATGCTAGGTGATTGTGAAAGGAGGTTGGAGTAGCAGCCTTTTCATTGTAAAGCAGGAACCAGGATTCCACCTGCTGGTCACAACTGAATATTACACCAGATTTTCTAAAGGGGATCTATAAGCTCGCCATACTCTTTTAGGGGTATTTAACACTTGTGGTGCCATTTGAAGAACAATCTGTATTCAAATAGTTTTTCAGATGGCATTTGACAGGCAGTGAGTGGGCGATATATCACATTCTTACTGCCTAATTGAACCCTATAATGCTGCACTACCATATCACATTCACAGGCATTGGAGGCAACTGTGGCAAGGCCCCATTAGACACAGTGCCTGAGTTTGAAATGCAGTACCACTTGCAAACTCTGCACCCTGAGTTAAAAATGTCATGGCCACGGAGCAAACCATCAAGACTGCTGCATGTGTACAGCCCTGTTCAGCTGTATTGTGATAGCTTGGGTGGGCGGTTAGGGGAAGCGGTAAAACCATGGCTTAGCCTACTGTTTTTACCTCCCTTAAGCTGCCTGTCTGAAAGAGACCTTAGAATTCAGAGGAATTGGATTAAATTCTAACAGTGTATGGCCCTGCCAGCTTGATAGAAATCAGTTACTCAATTGACTTTAGTTGGTGATATCAGCGCAGATTTAAGCGCTACTTAAAATTGCAAGCACTGTTCAATTGAACACTGAAAACACTGAAAACAATTCTGACAGCTGACATTTGCGGTTATCAGAATAGAGTAATCTGGTCTGGGAGATTAGTCTATTTGTGCTGTTAGCATGAATGGAAAATCTATTAGTGTATGGTCAACTATTACCTTTTAGGTGTTTTGTCTTTTGGATTAAAAAAATGTAAATACAGTACACCGTATATGTACACAAGGTAAGTAATATATTCTTATTACATACGCAGTCTATATTTCTTTCTTAGTTATACATAAACCTATCAGACATGGCAGACTGAATGAAAACATACGCCTCTCTGTGTTGGTAACTGATCTTATCTCAGCAGTGAGGCTGACCAGATCTATCTACTACATATATCTTTTCTAGAGGGAGGGCTTACAAATCTGTACATGAAACTGCATTACAGGAAACCTTACTATGGGTATGTTTATTGGCTCCATTGTATAGTTAAATTCTGAATGATAAAATGTTTTGTATATTTTGTTTACATATGAATCGGCATGTATGTGCATGCATATTATAATTTAATTTAAAGCCATCAATATTTAATGAAGTGAAATTATCGCCTTGCTAAAAACTGCTCTGGGTAAAAACCATCAACATAATTAGGTTTTTTCAGTGTTGCTAGCATCATTTAATGTATGCAGTAAACTTATGTCTGTCAGGATGCTTTTCCTTTCGATAACATTACCGACATTAATGTAGTGATTTGTAGTACTCAATCTTGGGCTGCTTCTGCTGTCTACCTGGCAGCCAGATCTGAGGTATAAGGGTTCATGTTCATGGCTGATTAGGGCTGTACACCTGCCAGATCAGTGTAATTCTGCAGCAGGTACAGTCAGATGTTCCTGTAATGCCATGGATAGAAAGCCTGTACAAATCAATGGCAGGTTGACATTGTCCACAGAGCAAACAGCTGCAGACAGGCAAAAGGATTTGTCAGCCTGTCATTCATTTATAAAGGCTTCTTGTCCTTCGATACTTGGAAACAACTGGCTGTACTTGCTGCAAAAATACCCTGCTATGGGTGGTGTACAGTCCTAATCAGCTTTGTGCATGGGCCCTAAATCAGACAACACGCATTGCAATCTAAATATACAATCTCCTTTAGCTTTATTAATACCCATTTAGTGCCATGGCCTACCAGACTGAATGAGTTGATTAATTAGGTAAGCTGTTTAACTATGTGGTTGTTAGGGAATCTAAAGAAGATTGTACAATTAGAATGTACTTTGCAATTATAATGTAACGTGTGGTCTTTCTTACTGGAACGTCTTACAGATAAAGACATAAATGAATGCAGTGCTGTAATAATAAATACATCATTAAATAGTTTTTTTTGCAATGTAAGTAAGTTTTTGTAATACTTGCACAGGTAAGTACCTGCATTTGACTTGGTATTAGCCACTTACAGTCTAATGTGCAGTCTGCACAGCAGGGCTAAGAGAAAGGGTGGGAGATGCAGCACAAGAGTGACATGAGAGAAAAATGATTTAAAATATTCTGTATTCTGCGGATCCTTTCACTTTTCAGGTACATGATGGTGAGGGAACATGTAAGTAACCTGCAGCAGAGAAAGATCAGGTCTCCTCCCTGCTAGACAAGGCTGTACTGTTGATTCAGGATTGAATTAACAAACTTACAAATCCTTTGGAGGTAAAATATGTACAATATGTCTACAGTATTTCATCTGCTGTTTGCTTGGAGTTCAGCTTTAAGCCTAAGACAGCTCATACATTCATTTTTTTTTTTTCAACCAGTTGGTTGAATGAAAAAAAAAATGATCCAATTCCCCCATCCACACATTCGTTATGGATGGGGGAATTCCCGTTGTACTGTTGTGTTCTGACGGCAGGGAGCTTTCCTCGCCACCAGAATACAATAATCAGTGTGTAATGACTAAGCACATGTTCGTGTGAAACGCGACTACTGCTCCTCTGTCCTGCCTTGGAGCTGTCATGTTCTTATCATATTGCATGGAAAGGATTCCAATAAAGGATTTCATCCACCACATTGCTGTTTGTGCGGCCAACCATCCTGTTTTTCCATTGCATCTGTGATCACGGATCGAGCCAGCACCTGTGTGTCCGTGGAGGGGTTATGCAGATTCGGCACTCATCTGGAGCGGATCTTTTGCTCTTACAATAATTTGTGCTGCCTACTATAGCCAGTGGCACTGATCAGTCAGTCAAAACCCAACAGGCTGTTTGTACAGAAGTCAATCAATAGGTCGACTTGTGTACAACCAGGGTGCTTATACAAGGATCAGAATTGTCCAGTCTCTGCTGCAGTGGCCAAATTTCAATCCATGTATGGCCAGCTTAAGTGCCCTGGACATCTTTAGATTAGGGAACATTTATATCCAGCCTAACCTGAAGTTGCCGGAAATAACTGACTCAAGGAAATGTGTGTAATCAGTTGCACAATTTGCATTATTGTAGTAGAAATCAAGATCCAATACCCATTTTCTCTTTTTAATGATTGTTTTCTTTGGTGTATTTTCTCAGGATATCCTGGTTTCCAAGCAGCTACATACGCCAGTCGCAGCTACACAGGGATAGCGCCTGGTTATACTTACCAGTTTCCAGGTAATTTAGCAATACAGTATTATATAGCAGTGATTAGATATGTATAATGTGCATGCTCTTTCTTCCCTTGGTGGGATACAACTTGGGGTTGTTGTGAACATAGTGACAGATTAGCCTAAAAACTTGTCTGCTCTTCTGAGTCTCTGTCCATTCATGGAATGGTTTTGTAAGCAATACTATATATTTATTTGGATTTTAGTGGCAGTGAGTGATTATAAACAGCTGTTCCATACTCACTGCCAGTCACATCTGTAGGCTGGACATCTAGCCACTCCTAAGCTGTTTCACATTTCGTTTTAGAATTTCGTGTAGAGAGAACCCCACTCCCGGGCACCCCCGTTCTCCCAGAACTCACAGGTCAGTCCCATTAATTTACTAAACCTCACAGCTGAGGAGAACAAGATCAGCAGAGTAGGAGCTGGTGGCAGCCATGCTCTGCGGGTAATGTGGAGGGACTGCATCTGCCGCATCACTGCTGGCCTCTGAGAAGGATTGTCTTCTATGAAAAATTCTGTACTTGTGTGTTGGAACTTTGAAGTACCACAGGGTAAACGTTCTTCAATGCTGGAGCGATTTATGGTTTACTGATTGAGAATATGTAAGCTTGTATATAAACATGATTTCCTCATCTCTGCTGTAGGAATTTCGGTGATGTTTTGTGGTTCATCAAAACATTTCTACAACATATTTTTATAATGTTAAACGTAATGCTACACATTAGGTTTGAGGTGAGCTCCACCTGTAAATGTGACATTGCTGTGCCCCCCTTATGCCATGCATTATTCACTTTATTGTCCCATATACTTTTATTTTTCTTTGATAATGTCATATGTTAGACCATTGTTTGAAAACCCCATATCGTCCATATCCATAACCAGACAGCTTGATTTTAGAACAAAGTATACTGAAAGATTGTTTATAAACCAGCCTTACAGTACACCTGTTTTATTAAACTGGTTGAGTGGAGTTCACCTTTAGAATTTTTATTTCACCTTAGAATTTTTATTTTACAGTTCTGTTCCCTGTGGGGCAAAGTACATGTAGTACTTTGTCCTATGTTTCTAGGTGCTTTCTAACCATAATTATGAGTACCAAGCTGCCCTCCTTCTGCCGCAGAAGAATGAACAACAGCTATGATGGAGACAGTTAATTCCTAGCTGTAGCTTATCTCAACTGTGAACACTTGTAATGGCAAGAGGAAAGCAAAGGGAGTGGGGACATTTCAGCCTCTGTATTCCTCTTGCCATTGCTTGCCTTTGGAAAGTGCTCACAGCTGAGACAAGCTGCAGCTATGACTCCTTCAAAGCTGTTGTTGGCTGGGCTTTGCAGAAAGGTTGTGGTGGGCGGGGGGGTCGGGTTGGTAAAAAAATAATGATGGATATTTTTAAGTGTATGTGAACCCCAACAATGAATGTCTCCTTTGGTCTGTTAACTATACAGTTACACATTTTGTTATATTAGTTCAATAAGTGCAAAAAGAAAAATACCAGTTGGTTCTTCCAGAAATCGGTCAGAAAGCTGTACTGTGCACACTTCAGTGTTATTTCAAGTATTGGTAAGGCCTACCTTCCTGCCCAGCTCTGTGAACTACAGTACATCTCCTCCCATAATTTGGAGGTAAGATGTTCTGTAGTCCTAAAAACTTCCTGTTCTAGGGTCTCAGTACTGCTCCTTCATAGATACAGTTTGTTGAGTGAACAATATCACTCTAGGACAGCCTTTCTCAACCTTTTTAACATGGAGAAACCCTTAAAAATAACTTTCAGATCTCAGGAAACTCTTGTTATTAATTAGTATGTATTTAGGTCACAGTACATTAGCATGAAGATTATATATGGTATATAGTACATGCGCATAAAGGAACAAAAAATGTGTGGCTACTTAGCTTGCTGACCACCAAAGACTATTCTAATGGCCACAAAGAAAGAAACACAGGCAGTGAAAATTGCATTGTTTTGTTACATGGAAAAGGGCCCTATTATCTTGATGGTTATAGAAGAAAAGGCCCCTCTCATATTAGGGGTCATTGAAGTCCCCCCTTACATTGATGGTCATTGGAATACCCCCCACCTTACTCAAGTAGAAAAGGACCCTCTTAAATTGGTGGCCATTGGAAGACGGATTGCTTTTCACTGGTTGTCAGTGAGGGATTGGTTCCATTACACTGGTGGCCAGAGGGAAGAATGCTCCTTACATTTTTGGTCAATTGAAAATGTCCCCCTTTCAGAGAGCCAGAAAGATCATTTGTGTGCATGGTTACCTATCTGAGAGAGAGAAAATTCCCACTGCCCACAGAACCCCAAGCAATGTCTGGAGGAACCCTAGAGTTCCACAGAACCTTGTTTGAGAAGGGGTGCTCTGGGACATTATGTGTGTTACTAGCAGGGACTCCAGGAGAAAACAAAGGATTAAAAGCTTGAAAAGAATGCAGCCACCACATCTAAAAATTCTGGAATTCTAAAATACATGACATTTTTGGCTTTGCTTTAAGGCTTCCCTAAACAAAAAAAATTAAAATATAGAGTTGTGTGGAAGTAAGAATGTTAATGCACTGTCTGGATACTCTCGAAGCAAAATCGTCAGCTGAAAGTCACACCTTTTATTCTCTAGCAATAAGAAGTGTGATAGTGTTCCAGCTCCAACTTGTCTTACTACTGGAGTGCCTGATAAAAGCAGCTTGTTAGTGCATTACTATTCTTCCTCCATCAGAGCTCTGATTTTGGGTGGATGTAGCCTTTAAAAGCTTATGCAGATGGATGGGATGATGGTCCATTGTTGGGTAAAAGGAAATGAAAATACAGTCAATGTCATAATGAGATGTTCTAAATTGCAATATTCATGGATGCATCACCGAGAGCTTTTGAACAAGCTATGAATTCATAATTACACATTCATCCATCCATCACTTCTCTGTATATGTAGCCTTTCAGTGATACATGAAGTCTGTAAAATACAGGAGCAAGATATGTGTTCAGTTGCTGTAAATAAGCCTGAAAAAAGTAATATTTTCATTGTTTTAAAGGAAAGGAGGCTTGGATACATTTCTCCCAGTGACCTTGTGGGAGATAACATCTGCACACAGCTGAGTGCCTCCAAGCGGACTCTTTCTACAATTTTGTTGAATACTTTTTTAAAGTTGCACCTTTTATTTTAAGGGTTTGTGTAAATATGCAGGTTTTATGAAAAAATGAATAACAGATTTCACAGGACACGTTGCCTGAAATTTTATGTAGAGGAACTTATTTCTGTGTGCTAAAGCATGCTAGATCATGAACGTAATTATGGCACAGCTAGCAGCCCTGTTGGAAATGCAATACGTAGTGGCTTTCTATTAGCAGAAACTGCATGTTAAAATCTATTGCACTCTAACAGCTATTAATGTGAATAAGTCCTTGAGGTTGTGACGAGAGTTGTTACTTCTGCCCAAGGGTAACTCCAGTTATCTCAACCCAGCTGCACACCAAATTGGAGACAGCCATTGGTACCTCTGAGATATACAGTGATAGTTTTAAAATCGTATCACTGGTTCAAGAGCATCTTGCATTCAGGTTGCAGTAAACGCCACGCTCTTAGCTATTCCATACTAATCAAAACTGTGAAATCTGTTACAAATGGTTAAGCAACTTTTTGCCCCAGAGGAACCCTTGAAATAATTTTTATGTCTTTGGGAACCCCTGCTAAAACAAATTTATTGGCGGTTAGTGGGAAAAACGCCCCTTCCATTGGTGGCCAGTGGTAAGAATGCCCCACTTCCAGTGGTGGTGAAAATGCCACTCTTACAGACAGCAAAAAAAATCATTGGTGTTATGAAGCCGGCTCTGCCAAGTGACAGAAAAAGCTCTCAAATGGGAGGTTAATCAGCCACAGCTCAATGAAACCCCTAGTATCCTCTGAAGGAACCCTAGTTAAGAATAACTGGTTTAAAGTGTACCTTTGAATTGCCCATCCATGGCAAAGCAGCAGGTTTGCTTTAGTGAAGCCCTCAGCAGCTTATACCTTCCTTTCACTCCCCTGCTGCTCTGTTCAATTGCTGAGACAGAGAAAGTACTGTGTGAACACCAAGTTGCTTGGAGATTACACAGGACTGAGAACTGTCCTTGCCTACATGTTACAGCATTGGCCCAATCAAAGAGCATGAGTGCTATTACATGAGAGGGGGGAGTGTGTCACATGCTTCATACCTAGACGTACTGGGCATTTTGTTTCTGGAGTGGAGGAATAGAGGAGCAAAGGGGTATAATATAGAATATATAGGTGCAGAAATGCTGTCAGTTATAGTCAGAACTGAAGGCACCATTTATTTTTAGCTGTCATGAGAATTAATGCTCCTGTGCTAGGAATCGCTGCTGTTTGCAGCAGCATTAGGCCTCATGTACACTGCTGCTCCTAAACGTGAGTTTAGGAGCTTTTGGCGTTTTTTTTTTCCCAAAACCCCTGAACGCAACTCAATAAAAGCCTATGTGTCCATGTAAACATAGGCTTTTACCAGAGTTAAGGAGTAGCAGAGTTTAGGGGCAGTTAAACATTCCTCTTCTGAACTCAGAATAATCACTTTCAGAAGTGGAACATTTTGGCCAAAAAACACTGAACGTGAAAAAAACGCGTGTAAATGTGGATAAACACTAGCCGTGTTTAGCGCTTTGGCGTTTATCCATATCAGTGGAAAATACTCTAGCCAATCATATGAATAAATGTCTAAGCGTTAAACGTGGTACTGAGTTTACACGCGTTTTTGCCACATTTAGCGTTTCTTTGCTGCCAAGAGAGTTTAACAACTAGATGAGTTCATGTGTACAAGAGGCCTTAAAGTGGTTGAAAACCCAAAAAATCGAAATTGAAATGACCAGTCTACCTCACACAGCATAGCAGCAGAAGTAATTTGTCACTAGTCTGGAGAAAAAAAAGCAGCAGCCGTCTTCTGAAATCCTCTTTGCTTTCCTACAGTGAAAAAACCCCATACATGAAAAAAATTTTTTGTCGCCACACCCCCTCTCCTGAGAGAATATCAGATGACTGGCTGCTCCTTTCTTGGCCAGACTAGGGACAAATAACTTCTGCTGTTATGCTGTGTGAGGTAGACAGGTCATTTCAATATATATTTTTTTGGGTTTACAGCTACTTTAAAGTAGAACTGAAGGCAAAACTTTTTCTTTTCATTTTAAGTGGAGTAAAGCTGGCCATACATGGGTTGAAATTTGGCCAGTTCAGCAGGGACAGGCCAAATTTCGATCCTTGTATGGGTAGGCTGATTGTACCCAAGTCAATCCATCAGTCAGGTACAACCAGTGTGTAAGATTTTTTTCTGCATGTGATTTCTGCCAGCAGCTATATTCGCTAGCAGTAATCATTCCATTCTGCCGGCCGGTAAGGCTCCACGCAACCCTCCTCACAATGACTGTGTTGGAAGGGGGAATCGAGCGAATTACTTTTTCTTTCCACCCAATTTTCTTTCCTTCCATAGATTAATCTATGGCTTGCCTAATGGAGGGTTATAATCCCTGTTGAGTTTCCCATTGGGGAGATTCCTTTCATTTCCTATCCACAACAGGAAGTGTGAGGAAATCCCTCCAAGCCAAGGTAAATCCCTGGAAGTCACCAGCATTAGTGTGCCAGTTGGAAAATTTCCTCTCTAATCCTGTTCTGGTGACCACTCAAAGTTGTGGATTTTCCTTCACTTTCACTCACAGTAATAATGGTCACCATGACAATTATAGAGGGTGAGTCTTCCTATCGGGGACACGGACGGTAGTATAAACCTGACAAATGTTCTATTTAGTAACGCTGTCCAAAACGTAAAAAAAATGGTCTTCAGTTATACTTTAAGGCAGTGATGTCAGATTTACCAGTCTGTTATGTGATGGCAACTATTTGGAAGTGACCAGTACTGGTCAGTACAGAATAATGTCATAGATTTATCTTGGATTCTCTTTTTTAAAGAGGGTTTATGAACCACAAAGAGCACAAATGTGCTGTAAGCCAGGGTAAAAAATGAGAACCCACTTTTAATTTGAATGCTGTATAACAAAACATCTGATTAAATTGTTTGAGTCACAGCATAGGGTTTTATATATACCTTATAATAACACAATCCCCATAGTAATTTGCAGTAATAAACCAGTCTTCAAACCGGCATACCTTGAGGAACTGTAGTCTGTATGTAGGTAAATGATTAATTAATAATATATTATACTGCATGCTTATGTCATGTTTATTCATAGAAGATCCTCCACTAGCTTCCTCATTTGTTTTTGTTTTTGTTTTTTTTATGCATGCCTTTATGTAGAGATTTTGAAGGATGTGCATAGAGAATTGCTAAATCTCTGATCCTGTTCTTGTTACGTTCTAAAAGCTGTTTTCTTTTGTGTTTCAGCCATCCCACTGACTGCTTATGGACCAGTGGCGGCAGCAGCAGCAGCTGTGGTGAGAGGTAACCAGCCTATTAAAAACACATTAATGGCAATTTCATTTGTTTACCTTTACTATGTAAAATAAGGGCTCCTTTGGGTACTAGCAGACCTGTATACATAGTCAACTTTGCATAAGTTGCACTTTAATTATGATCACAAATGGTTTTGGGAATGTGTATAAATGGGTCTATCTATGTATTATAGCAATGCAGATATCTAAAAAGGTTTTTGGCAAGAATTATGATATAGCACAGTTTTTAGGGGAATGTATACAGAGTCGTGGGAGGAGGGGGCAGAGTGTAGGGGGCTCTCTGTAAGATCTACTTTTTTACTTTGTAAACAAGGCTCCACTCCAACCCGCACAGGGGGTTTTCTGGGAACTAGCAGCCCGGGCCCAATGGCCGAACTATATGGCGCAGCCAATCAGGAATCGGCAGTCAGCAGCTACATCAGTGCAGCAAGTCCAGCACCTAGCACTGGCTTTGGACACAGCCTTGGGGTAAGTGGATGTGATTTGATATGTGAATTGGAATAAACATGAAAGGATATAAATAATGCTATCAAAATGTCTAGCCTTTATAATTGTAATGGTTTTTGCAACATGGTGGGCTCAAAGATAACGTTTTCTGAATATCAGCTTGACATTACATGCATGACAAGACTGCTTCCTGGGATTTGGCTACCTGATCTCTTACAGATTTGACTGTACAGGCATGTGGCCAAATCTGAGAGTCTAAATGTTCCTGTATATTTTATCCAACAAACACACCCACTGATCAGTGTACCCTGGACATTCTATCCATGTAGTATTGCCTGTGGTACCAACCACCTCTGGAATTAAGGTTCTAATATTTAAGTGGTAACTGTCAGGTCTCAAAGTAATGTGTATCATGTATAACTCAATATTCTGTACACTTTTAGGTGATAGTTTTTAAGTGTGATTTTTAATTTTGCAGGGACCTTTGATTGCCACGGCTTTCACTAATGGATATCATTGAATTTATGGGTCACAGTGAAGGTAAGGAGGAGCATATAATTCAGTGCTCATAAAAACACAGCATCTACACAGAAATGACACATTTAATATTGTTTTTTAACTTTTCTGTTCAGTATTTTGTTCTATATAATCAGCAATTTTGAACTTAATGAGGCTCATTATAGGTCTTTAGCATAGGTGATTATAGGTCTTTGGAAATGCTGGAAAGGAATTGAGCTATATCTATGAAAATATCCACTCCGTGAATCATAGTAGTAGTAGATATTTTTTGTTTTCAGGAGAGTTTATAACTAACTGCACCTCCCTTTATATTCTACCAATTTTCAACACAAGCAATGTGAATAGTGATTTAATCCCCCTCTGCATTACTGCAGTATCAAAGTAATGATGTAGATTGGCATACATACTCTCCAGGATGGATGATCTGCTGTTGCGGTGGCTAAAATATACAGCGTTTTTCTTAATTTTTTTTTTTTTTTTTTGGTCGGGATGGATTGGCTAGGTGACTTATTACCAAGCTGGTGATTGGTTGCTAGGACTTCCCTGTGTCCTAGCAACCAATCACTTGCCAGTTAACTTCAAAAGTTAACTTGGGAATGTCCTGCCCCTGCCCTCCGTCCAGAACTGTGCTGCCTCCCGCTCTCTGCTCTGCCTTGAGGATGAGAGAGACAGAGGCTGGGGGGAAGGAGGGACACCTAAGTGGTATGGGTCGACAGAGAGGGGATGTGGTCGCAATCTATCTGTCACCTGTCCGCCGTTGACAAGTAGATTGCGACCGATGGGTTGCCAGCCTCTTGATCTAAAGTCTTTACTAATAACTCCTAGCTCTCACAGAGTCATAAATTAAATTCCAGAAGATCAGACCTCCAGCTGGAAAGGGTATAGTTTGGCTGAACTGTAGGTGAGGTTGGGCAGACCAGTACAGGTTTAGGTGGATCTGGAGTGAGTTTTTGCAGGGTTCTGTAAAATGTAACCATGACTCCATATTTCTTTCTACAGGTTTCAGATTGGAAGCTCTTCATGTCTGTGGCTGTCCCTCTCCTCTCAGATTATCAGATGGCCACTCGCCACCTTGTGTTCATGCAGAGTAACTGGTGCCTCCTGCATAATTTTTCCTTTCACCCCAGAACATTTTATTTATTTCATGTTTTTTTTTCTTCTCTTTTTTTTCCTTGTTCGTCATTTTGTTTTTTTTCCTTTTTCTCATCGTTAGTCTTGTGTTTCCATGATAGATGTCAGGAAAACATATTTCATAACTAGGTAATTTTTGTTCTGGTGGGTTGCTGGGAAATTCCGGTACAACATGCTGGAGGGAGGGAAGGGATTATATGGTCCAGCAGTCTGGGAATGTGTTTCATTTATTTTTAACTGAAAAAAAAAAAAATATTTTTTATGTAAATTTCGGCTTTTATGACATGAAGTGGACAATGCACAAGAACAAGACAAATGTATATTTTGCTAAATGAAAAACTATTTGTAGAACAGAAGTTATTTTAATTTTCTCAAAACTGGTTTGATTTTTTTTCCTCTGTAAAATATGTAAATATTGCAGACTGATTGCTCTGCCACCTCCAGGTCTTTTCTGGCCCCGGCTTCTCCTTTGCCGACTTGGGTCCATACTTTAGCAATATTTTCCTAAAACCTGAATGGATTGACAGGTTTTTTTTTTATAAATTTTTTTGCTACAACTGAGTTCTGTCCACTGGAATAAGCTGGTGCGTCATCAGCGCAGGAGAACGCTGAGCGCCAGCTACATCCTTGGCACAATTTAACTCTTTGAGTGCCACCCTTCTTGGTAATATGGAGGAAGGTGTGTGTTTTTATGACAAGCGTACATAGCATAGGTTTCTTTTGGAAACCAGAAAAAAAAAAAACATTGACTGTGATAATAAGCATTGTCAATGCATTAGACTTTTAGTTATATAATACATATGTGGGCTGATTTAACCAGGAAAAAAGTGATGTACAGTAACCCATGGCAACCAGTCAAAAACCATTGTTTGTTTCTTATTGTTCTGACTATTTCTAAGCCGAGAGAAAAAGGAGATTTGATTGGTTAGTATGTGTCACTGCACTTTGCACATCATCATTGCTTTTACTCTGCCTTAAATGAGCCCAATAGTCTAAAAGAGACTTTAATATTTATATATCCTGACAACATATACAGTCAGGTAGAAACCTTGCAGTGTCAAGGATATCCAAACACTCTGGTACATTCCTACAGTTAGGAAAAAACTAACATTCCAAATCCCTGATGTGTTGTCACTGTCTCCTCCAAGAGAAAATGTGTGATGGTACATAAAGAGTTAATTGTGAACAGGAGTGCATACAATGCTGTATTGCAAGTTCAAAGCAATAATGTTTGTTACTGCAACTGGAATTTTTTTAAGATAGCAAAAAAAAATGAAAAACAAAAACAAAAAAAAATAAATAAATGCTGAATTTTACTCTTTGCGTTATTGTTTTCATTTTGGAGAAACATCTAATTTCCGATACTATGTGTATATTGTGTATAGGAAGTCATAGTGGTAACAGCCAGACATTGAAGAGAGACAAATGGGAACACAACTTTCAAAATGTACAGTATATAGTTTGTTTTTTTTGTTAACATATACATTATGTAAAAGGCCAGTATTAAATCTGTGGTATACTGTGCCCTGTTAAGAACCCATATGTATGGGCTAACTTTGTGTATGGCCTAACAAATGGGAAAATAGGTAGTGAAACTCTGTAGCTCTAATGGTAGTGGCAAGCAGTTATAGATTGCTGTTCACTCCCCAGGGATTATAGGGTGAGTGATAGGCAATTTTGGAATACAGCTGCCTAAAATTGAATTCTACCCTATCATTAAGTAGTTTTATAAATGTTCTCTCCCCACTCCTTCCACCTATGCTGCCTAACCTGTGTAAAAAAAGATGTGTATACTTACCTATTTGATTCATCTGATCCAGTCCAGCCACATGATTTGCAGCTCCCCTGTGCCAGTAAGTGCCAGCTGCAGGGGAGAGTAGGGAGTGCTGAGAGCTAGGATATGGGAGCCTATGAGTGACATCACAGATCCTGCAATTCCCAGCCGCTGATGATTGACACAAAGGGATCACATGACTAAACCAGAAATATAGATAAGTATACAGATCTTTTTTACACTAGTTAGGTAGGTGTGGGGGGTCATTTTTAAGGCCGGTTAGTGTTTGGCGGTATTCCTTTTGGACAGTGATAGTTTCTGTGTTTAATTCTGTACAGATACAGTGTCTATTGGTGGACCCTGCATCTCCTGGTAGTCCCTGCGACTATTGATGGTCCCAAGGTTCAGAGGTAGTCCCTGTATTATTTGGTATACCCTGCACCTACTGGTGGTCATTCTTTGACCACACACACACACACACAAACAAAACAGTAACAGGATGCAGAAAAGATTAAAGAGATCCTGTCACCAATGTAAAAAAATACCTTTGCGCTTGTTAGAAAATGTGATTATGTCAGAAAGAGTCAATTCCCTGGCACAGCCCCTTCCCTTCTTGCAGGTCATCCCTCTCCTATCCTGGGAGTAACTTGGGGCTGGGAGCTTATATTATGTAATTTCAGGCGTGAAGCAGATTTTTGCAGGTTAATAACTTTCCTAAAGATACATTAAATGTACATAGGAAGTTTGAAATTGTTGAAATAAATGGCCTGACAACAGTCTTAGAAACAAAGAAAAGTGATGGCAGAAAAAGACCATGTGGTCCATTGAGTCTGCCCATTTTTGTTGTTTGCTTTGGGGGTTTTTTTTTGTTGGGGGGGGGGGGTTGGTTTTTTGTTTTTGTTAACTTTTTTTGTCTGAGTATAGATCTATGCTTGTTCCAAGCATGTTTGAAGCTATTTACTGTTGACTGGCTTACTGCCTCTGACAAGTCTCTTTGTATCTTTACTTCTACTCCCGATTGATCTAAACCTTGTATACCAAATTTGTCTTCTGTTTAGGCAATGGAGAAACAAGTTTATTCATGTTTCGGGAGTTGGGGCACAGACCCAAGGAGAACATTGCAGGGTTGTCTTACTAGGCAAACTGGCTGTTCACTTTGCAAGGGAATTTTCCCTGAAACTTGGTGAATGAGCTGAAGCACTACTGAATGCCACCACCATCCAATCATATGCAAGCAAAAATACTTTTTTTTTAACATATTTTTATTTTCCTTGCACATGATTTATCAAGATCTGACTGCTTTTTGCCTTATAACTCCTTAACAGTTTCCAGATTGGTTAATCTCAGTGTACATCTTGGAAACTGTATCCTGACCCTGAACTGCATCAAAGGCCATTAATGTTTGGCACTCATCATGATACATATTACTTAGTTTCGGGGTGCTATACAGGGCCATGGTCCATTCCTAAGGCACTCAGACCTGAACCTCTTCAGGGGTATGCTCACTATGACAAAGCTTACTGTAGATAAGGCAGTGGACAAGATAAGACAGGGTTTCCCCTTAACTTTACATACCAGCTCCTGGCTATAGGTGTCTTGTGGGATCATTACTTGGATCTGTAGTATACATTACATTATATCCTTTTATTCTGCTAGATATACATCACAGTACTAAGCACCTTAGCCGTTTTGAAGGCAACAGTTATACAGTAATCTATACTTCCTTTGTCTATTTCCCTAGCTATTATTGTCTAGCTTTTTTTTAACCTTAATAATATTATTATAGCATAACCTATGCTTTCTTCCACCTCACTAACAGAAGTGTCTTTCTGGCTAGCGATGTAGCACTTGTAAGACGTTTATGCACACTTTTAGCCACCATCAACTTATCGTTTGCTGTGTCTTCTGTTGCCTGATAGCACAGAGACAGAGCCACAGGAACTCAGTGGGCTCTTGGGTTATTGTTATTCATTCACAGGACACGCTAAACTTCCACAATCCACATCCATTCCGTTCATTCTCCGCAGGGGAAGATCCTTATTTAGAAATGATGTATTACAGGTGCTTGGGAGTGCGGCACAAATAGCAAGAATTAC